TATCGTTTCGGTTAAAAGATATCACTTTCTAAATATATATGAACCTAATTTAAAACAAGTCTAAAAACCATGACGTTGGATGACGTCACTGAGCAGCGAGTAGCAATAAAATTTTGCTTTATACTTAGAAAAGTTCTTTAATAACTTTTAAAACAATCTGTATAAACTAGGAAATATATGCAAAGGGATAAACATAGAATAAACTCTGTACGAGGGTCAGTCAAAAAACACGTTGACAATGTTGCTCATCGTCATATTATTATTACAAGATTATAGATTATAGATCAACACATTTTCGTAAATAAAAACATATATTTTGTTGAAGTGTGAAGTTTCATTACATTCGATTAAATAAAAATCATGCTAGCCAATTTTTAAAACAACAAACAACAAATTTTTATGAGATCCTGCTAATATATAACAGAGCTTTATCATTATTATTTTTTTTTCATTTTTTCAATCTTGTTGAACAAGGTTTGAATGTATTTTTGTTTCAAGTTGATTACAGGGATAAGAAATGTGGAAATAGTTCATGCAATCACTTCTCCAAATGTTTTCGCACAAAATTAGACAAATATGTCTGCATCGAAGTAGAAGGTATTTTAATTTGAAAAAAATATTCAACTGTTCTATGAAATATTACTAATGTGTTTTTCTAACCTTTATCATTATTTTCTCTATTTATTTAAAAAATGGACAATAATATTAAGAATCAATTTCATCTGTATAAAATTTCAATTTTTTTTTTCATCCGCAATTTTCATATTCATTTTAATTGTATTATTCCTTGTCTTGTTAATGGAGGATGAAGTGAGTGGAACGCTTGGGGAGGTTGTTCAGTGACATGCGGGGGTGGAACTAGATCACGAACACGCACTTGTGATAATCCTACACCGAGATTGGGAGGTCAGCTCTGCAATGGACAATCTTCAGATTCAACATCCTGCAACACGCATAACTGTTCTGGTACTTTTTTTTTCACATAATTGATACATGTAATTTATTCATTACATCATTTTATAAATATGAAATATACTTTGAAACTGGAAATGATATCCAATTAGAATATTTGTTCGAAGTAAAAAAAATGAAATGTATTATATCAACAAATTCATGAACTTTACATTCTTTGAATTATTTATATACATATATACAAATAATACATGACAGTTTTTGTATATATTCTTAAAAATAGGCTGTACCTTTCCTTTTGATTGTTTCGACATCCTCAATACTGGACAAAACAATACAGGCCTTTATTATATATGCCCGGGTAACATAAGCCAAGAATCTGTTCCAATTCAAGTTCTTTGTAACATGGAAGCATATGGAGGGGGCTGGACGGTATTTTTTTAAACATATTAAGCTATAGTGGAGTATTTTGCTCTTAAAAGGATTAAAAATATGATGAAGTCTGCACTTTTTGATATATAACGTTTACTATTTTTTTTCTTATTATTAGTAAGTTTTTTGTTAAAATAAATTTTGAGACAATTTAAAAAAAAAGAACAAAAAATGTTTTAGGTCATTCAGCACAGGAATCGGGGATACACAGGGGTAAATTTCAACACCAATTGGTATGAATACAAACGAGGTTTTGGGAATGTTGGAGGGAATTATTGGCTGGGTAAGCTTATTGTAACATGGCTTTTTGGCATCATTGACAGCTGCTTTTTTTAAAAAAAATGAAATCGTAAATTCACTTGCCTCGTCATTGGTGATTCGCAAAATTATTTTGTTAAAACATTTTCTGATAACACACACAAGTACTCTGAAGTTAACATAAAATGATGCTTGAGTTCCTGATTCCAATGGGTACCAACTGCGCTCCGTTATAAGCAGAATTATGTTTGTATTCATATGAAGCAGAATTTTTTGCAAAATCTAATGCATAAAAAGAAGAAAACACTTGCTTTGGCCTTCAGCTCAACATATTTAAATATATCGACGACGTATTGTAATTTCCATTCCTTTGTCAATACGATATATCCAGGTTAGTTTGAGATAAAAGATACCACAGAGTCTGACACATCTGTTTCATACTTGGATATTTTACTTGAAAAAGACACTAATGGTAACTTAACAATCAAACTCTATGGTAAACGTGATGACTTTAACTTTTCTATTGTCAATTTCCCTTACCTATGCAGCAATAAACCTTCAGCACCTCCATAAGGAGTCTACATATGTCACTTGATTTAATACGCTAGAGCATGCTCTACGAATAGGCAATTTCTGAAACGATGTAATTTATTGACAAACAAACTATCAATAGTCTCGTTTAAAGCTATCATTTCGTAAGTTCTATGTTCGAAAACATGACCTTGTCAGCAAATACAATTTATCATTGAGTCAAATGCTGCCTGAAGTTTTTCATATTAATTGTTAGTCCATTATTTATACACCGAAGTGACGACGGATTTTTCAGTTATATCCTGACAAGGAGCACACGGCGGGTGTGACCGATCGTCAGGGGATGCTTACTCGTCCATGACACCTGATCCCACCTCTGTCTCTTTTTGCTCTGCTCCTATTTTATATTGTTTTATGAACTATGATTTTGAATACTGTTCGTTATCTCCATATTGTTCTTTATCAATTCTTTTATTATATTAAGTTTGACATAAATTATTTGAAAAAAAAAACTTGGGTGTTTATAGCAAGATGCGTGTTTCAAAACGCAAGAAAAGGGTACAATATCATTTATAATTAAATTCATTTTATATGTTTAAATGCCAAAGATGAAAGCTATTAAATCGGACATTTCCGTTCATCGTAGCTGTAAATGCATATTTTGTGGATAATTTACTATTCAAAGAACAACAACATATCCATGAAGTATGTTTTAAATGATTTATGAAAGGTAATTCAGATAATATGTTTAGCGCTGTAAGGTCATTAATGAATGATGTTTGAAAGGAAAAACAATTGAACTGATATTTGGACATATTTATAAAGAATCTTCATTCAATGTATAATATCCAACCTAATATTTCATCATATATATATTAGATCATTGAAGATAGTACACAATAGATAGTCCCTTTTTCTCAAATTATTTTTTTATAATATGTGGTCATTCGATTATCAAAAACCATATGTTTTCGTGCATCAATATAAATATGGTGCTATATCATGAGCAATAACTTTTTGCCAAAAGAGCAAAATTAATTTATTAGGAAATCAATTGTGTGAAAAAAACGAAAATATTAATTGAGATCATTTTAATCTAATTTAGGAAACAACTCCATTCATAAATTTGACCTCAAAATACAACAAATCACTGTATATCAGATTGAGACATACACAAAATGTTTCATTTGAAGTTCAATATTCTGATTTTTACATCCCCGATGAAAATGACGGCTACAGACTTTCCTTAGGGAGAAAACAGGAACCATTGGTATATTACAAATTTTCGTATGTTTTATCATTTGTTTCTTTTTTATAATAAAAAAGAAAGTAATGTAAAGAATATATTAAATCCCGTTTAAAATAATTTTATGTCCTCTTATTCTGATGGTTTTATGTTTTTTGTATTATAAATTATCAAAATTGAAATTAAACTTTTTCTTCAATTGAAAATTGAAAGGTTTCATTATTGGATGCTTTTGTTTTTTAGATGATGCATCTAGATCGTATCCGATTATTAACAATCCCTTTTACACATTCGACCATGACACCAAGGAAAAGTGTGCTGATATGAATAAATCTGGATGGTGGTACAATTTCTGTACTGTCGTGAATCTAAATGCTCATTTTTTCCAAAGCCACAGAGATCCTTTATGGTATGGAAGTATTACGTTTAACAGCGAACTTTTTCTTTCTGAGATTTTGATCAGAAGAAAATTGTTATTAGAAATTAAAATAACTGCGAAAACAAGCCGAGGATATACTAAAGAAAAAGACGTATCGTACAGTATTGTTACATCTTTTACTGATTTTTATCATTCTTGTCAGTAATCAAATATACATATACAAATATTCGTATCATGGTCATGGAATAGTAAAGTACATATTGCTTTTAATATCAAAAAAAAAAATTATTTTACGTTTAGGTCGGTGATGAAAAGAGTTTGAAATGAAAAGTGTCATTTTCATCTTATTATTGACAAGAAAAATCAATCAAAAAAATAATTAAACAAAATGACAAGCATTACACAATTATACATCAAAATATTTAATAAAATTGTCAAGTACGAACATTTTGTTAAGCTTAGAAACGTAGGTGGGGCAAAAAAAAATACAGTTTTTAAACACCCGAAACATAAAGCGATTATTAAGGTATTAAATCCCAAATTAAGTGAAATTGAACAGGTAACTGATATGTAGGCATTGAAAAATCATTTTATTTAGACATATTTTGCCATTTATTACTATCAGTATGTATAGTGGGATGTGTCCAAATTTATGACCTTGAGTTTTGGTAAAAGTTACCTCCCCTTTTATTAATTTATAAAAAAAAAATATTAAAAAAATTAACTGATTACTCATTTGGTGTAATGCCATTGACTAAGGTGAATACACACCTGTACAAGTGTGTGTAACTAGAGTAGATTACATCCTACCTGATAGTAAATTAGACACACCTTTATCGATTAAGTGACTGATACTGATGTCATACAGATCAATACAAACTGTTCTGAAATCTGTGTCTTATGCATCTTTTATGTCGATCTAAATGAGAATATACTTGTTATGAAAGTGGTATGACCAGATTTTTTACTTTCGAAATCTGGTCATGACCAGATTTTTGCATGCTGGAGGTTGGCAAATTTTAAATTTTTAAAGACTAGTCACTAGAATAGAATTCATTTATACACTTTTGAATTTTTTGGGGTGTTTAGAACTTTAGATTCTGCAATGCAAAAATGTCCATTGATTTCAAGACCAGTGCCCCATTAGCCAGATATTGTCCTGACAGCAAATATTTTGACTATAAGCAGTGTCATACTGTGGAATGGGTCTGACATAGTTTTGCTAATCATTGAATTGTTAGTATGAGGGTTTTAAACATTGGAATGTTAAGTACAGTTAGAATCATTTGCTATGTTCAGAGGGTATTGTTAAGAAGACAGAAACAAAGTGTTGTAGTCAACATAATGCATTGTAGTAAAATTCTTATTGAAATTGATGCTCCCTCATACATTATGCTGTCAAAAAATTATTGAAATTTGTAGGAAAAGCCCAGACTTATAAGAGACAAAATATAAAACAATTGAATCAAATGGATATATTGATAGCTAGGTTGACTTCAGAACTCCATGAAGAAAAGTAGTCCTAATTTTTTTTCTTGATTCTAAATATTCAGGTTGAGCTTTAACTTGAATCATCCTTTATAAATGGGTTTTACTGGAAAAGGGGATGAAAGCGAGGTGAAATTATTATCATTGTTTTCATCCAAATCAAATGAAAATTGATTTCTTTATATTATCCATTTTTAGAGGAATTTGCCTAAAAGGAATATAAATAGGTACAGTTTATAAATACTGCTAAATGACCTATTATCATTTTCAACAGTTGAAATAAAATGTAAAAAAAAATTTTTCTTCCAGAGTCATTGATATATTGTAAAATATGACAGACCACCTGTTGAAAAATGTCTGAATGGCTTGTTATATGTTCTCAATTTGTTTTTTGAGTGGCAACTGACCTCAGACTTAAAATTTTTGAGAATGCAAGAATCTTGCTGAATTGTTATATTAATTAAGTTACAATTTATCATTCTTTCAGGAAAGTTATTACATGAAAACTTTCGGTATACATGTTATGTTTTTTTCTTTGTAAATTGATGTATCTTTTTCCTGTTACAGGTATAATTGCTGGCATAGTTTCGACAGCAGGCTCTCTCACAGCTACCGTAGGAGGTTCTGTTGACTTTACTTGTACATACACCCTAGACACTGGTGATACAGTCCCAGGAGGTTCAATTTCTTGGCAAGTTAAAACAGGCTCAGGACCTGAGGATTTTACAAACATTGCCTTTTTTTCTCCTCCTGGTTCTAGTGGTTCCAATTCCTTTACACAGTTTGCCACAGATTATAAGAATCGTTCTGAATTATTCAATGTTACAGCTAATGGAGCTAATACTTATGTTGTTGTGATGAGGGTAAATGAGGTGGTGTGTACAGATGAGAAACACTATAGGTGCTCTGTTTTATTCATCAGTACTACATTAGGTCCCATAACTAAGACAAAAGAAACATCACTCACTGCTAGAGGTAAGAATTTTTTTTGTACAATTATAATATTGGAACTTTGGTTAAGTTAATTCGGTTAATTCTAAAATATAAATAAAAATATTTGCATATTAAAATCATGTTATTGATATTTATATATTTATGTTCCCCAAACGAAGTTGGGGAACATATTGTTTTTACTCTGTTTCTTATTATTAATATTATCATTTTTCTTCTTCTTGGGAAAATCTTTTCCGCGAGTGATCTTGTAAACTACGCATCTGACTAAGGTGAAACCTTTTTAGGGTCAGTAGGCATGTTATGTAGATTTGCGGAACGAGGGTCATTTTGAGCGCACGTGCTTGCAACAGCATGCACGTGCAACACGTTAAATGACCAATATAATAGATATAGCCCTAATTTTTCTATTTTTTTATTAAATGCTTTGAAACTCATAATATAAGTATATATTAGTAGTATAGACGTGAATTAAGCACAAAAAGGGATCTGGGGAGCGTTTGGGGAACATCTGTAACAGTCCCCGTTACAATTAGCACTAGTTCCATTTCTATTTTTTTTCTCTGTGATAATTCTTTGAAAGTTGATTTCTCAATAGTTCCACTGGAATGTAAATTAGGCAAGTCCATAGGTCAGGAGCTAAGTAGGCCTAATATGCATGCAAATCTCGTGCACAACTGTCTCTATTTCTGATGCTAAGGAGGCCAAATATGCATGTAAATCTCGTGCCGCTGCCTTTGTTTTTGACATCAGTGGGCGAGGAGTATTGAAATTGGCATGAGAGTCCTCGTGTAATTTTAATCTATTTCTACATTTTTAAAGTCTAAATGTACAATTTTATTTCTTAATGAAATGGAAATATAAGGAATCACTGTCTAGTTGGTACGTATAGTATGCCAGGGACATCAACGATAGTGGGAAACATGGGATAATTTGCATAACGGGCTTAGCCCGTTATGCAAATTATCCCATGTTTCCCACTATCATTAATGCCCTGGCATACTATACTATCTAGACAGTGATTCCTTAAACATGTATTGTGTTTAAATTTAATTCTGAAAAGTAGACTTGATTTATAACGGCATGGGACCAGTATATCTAATTACATCTTGTGTATATAAATTTGTTAATAATACAATTGTAGCACCTGCTGAGCAGCCTTATGCCATTCCAGTTCCTGACCCAGACAATATAGAGGAAAACATGGAAGTAACACTTTCCTGTACAGCTAATGTTGGGAAGCCACCCGGACAAATCAGGTGGTGGCGCTACAGGAACGGGATCACAGCACCACAGGAAATGACAGGGGTGTCTACCAGCACCCCACCGGTTCAGAACGGTGTGTGTGTCTACAATGTGACCAGCACAGTAACGTACAGAATGACTAAAGACGATGATCAATCGGTGTGGAGATGTTTCGTGGACAATAAACTGTTGACAATGCCAGACAGGGATAAACCAAATCAAGAATCTAAGAGAGTTAATGTATTCTGTAAGTATGAATAGAGAAGAAATGAAATGCGTCTGGTATATATATGACAGTGCAACATGAATAATAGTTTAAGAATTCACAAGTGATAAGTAGTTCAAATGTGTGCATAGAGTGCTTTTAAATTGCATAGTAGATTAAGATATAATTTATTTAAGAAATACGATATCATTTTTAGAGTTTCATTGGGGTATGACATGAAGTCGGTCACGTGATCAAAATCTATAACCGGCTTCATGTCATACCCCAATGAAACTCTAAAAAAGGTTTTAACAAATGTATATTCATAAGAAAAATAGCATAATCTCTACCTCAGTAGCCAGTATAACAAGTTGAACTTGGTTGAATAATGAAGGGATTTGGGAATGTTGCCTACAATATGGCGGCTAAAGGGAATAACTCCTAGACAAAATGTGTCTTAGGAAAAGGGTCTATTGAGAATGAAACTGGGCAATAATTATTCAGCAAATTTTGAAATCTTGAAGAAAATAAATTTTACAGAGCTTAGACGTCCCCCAACTCCCTAGATCTCCAGCATTGTGAGGTATTTTTATTTTAAAAAAATCCCTAAAAATGTAGATTGTCAATGAATTCTACTCGTTAAACTCATACAATAAAACATTAATTTTAAATTGTATTCAATTTCAATACTAAAGATAATTTTCCATTAAAAAAAAACAAAACATTTATTAGATTTTTTCGCAAAAGTGCACAAGATATAGGTTATGACATCTTCCGTTTGTTTAAAAACTGGAAAATGTATTTTGGGATTAGCAATTGTCATTATATACCTTCGAGTGTTTTTGTTACTGTTCATAAAAGCAAGGAAAAAAATGTATAGGAACTGGGTTTATGTATCAAATACATGTAATCAAATACATTTTCAAAAGTTTGTGTTTGTTCTTTGTATTACATGAATATTTAAAATGCAAAAAATTGAATTGAAAAAAAAACAAACGTCCATTTTATTTATTTGAATTAAATTTGTCTAGGTAAACTTTTATTAATGTTTTATATAGACAGGTAGTGTTTTGCTTTAAACCTAAATGTCTTGGATTACTTTTTTCCAATAAAAAAAAAACTTGAACAAGTTTAAAAAAAACCAAAAAAAATTA